TGAGATTCCGTAATCGAATTAGCATTCCTGATTATGCGGAGATGAAGAAAGTGATTCTCGAGGAAAGTCATAGAAGCAAGTTAATTATTCATCTGGGAGCTACAAAAATGTATCAAGATTTGAAGAATTTGATTTGGTGGCCTGGAATGAAGAGTGATGTGGCTTGGTTTGTGTATGCATGTTTAACTTGTCAGAAGTTGAAAGTTGAACATCAGAAGCCTGCAGGGTTGATGCAACCGTTAGAAGTTCCACAATGGAAATGAGATAGAATTTTAATGGAATTTATGACAGGGTTACCTAATAGTTCAAGAGGGCATGATATAATTTGGGTCATTGTGAATAGGCTTACGAAGTCGGCTCATTTTATTCCTATTAACATCAGTTTTCCAGTATCAAAGTTGGCGGAGATTTACACTAGTGTAATTGTAAAGCCGCATGGTGTTCCTTTGTAAAGCTGGATAGATATCCGAGGTTTACTTCAGATTTTTGGAAGAGTTTGCAAGAGGCGTTGGGTTTTAAGTTGAGGTTGAGTTCGGCATATCACCCTCAGACGGATGGTCAGACAGAGAGGACTATTCAGTCGTTGGAAAATTTATTGAGAGTATGTGTTCTTGAGCAGGGAGGTTCATGGGATACTTATCTTTCGTTAATAGATTTCACTTATAATAACAATTACCATTCTAGTATTAGAGTGACACCTTTTGAAGCGTTGTATGGTCGAGGATGTAGAACTCTTTTATGTTGGCATGAATCTGGGGAAAGTGTAGTACTTGGACCTGAACTTGTTCAAGAAACTACTGAGAAGGTGAAGTTAATTCAAGAAAAGATGAAACTTCCTAAAGTACACAGAAGAGTTATCATGACAAGCGAAGGAAAGATTGAGAATTTCAAGCAGGTGACCATGTGTTTCTGAGAGTTACACCTATAACTGGTATTGGTCGTGCATTAAAGTCTAAGAAGCTCACTCCTCGTTTTATTGGTCCGTATCAAATTTCAAACAGAGTTGTCAAGGTTGCATATAAAGTAACTTTACCACCTAATCTTTAGAATTTGTACGATGCGTTCCATGTGTCACAACTCCGGAAGTATATTTCAGATCTATCTCATGAGATTCGTATGGACGATGTGCAAGTACGAGATAATCTTACTATGGAGACGATGCCTGTATAAATTGCAGATCGTGAAATGAAGAATCTAAGAGGCAAGGATATTGCTTTGGTGAAAGTAGTCTGATTAGGAGCTTCTGGAGAAAGCATGACGTTAGAGTTGGAAAGCAAGATGCATCCGGAGTTGTTCGAACAAGGTAAATTTTCAAGGACGAAAATATTCTAAGTGGAGGAGAGTTGTAACGTCCAATATTTAATTAATTATTTAATTAAATATATTCGAATATTTTTTTGATTAAATTTTCGAAGTTGCGAAATATTAATTTAAGTTGTGTCATTCTTAGTTGAATTATTTAGTTAATTAAGTTGTAGGATTAATATTGAATAATACTATTATTATTTATGTGGTCCTATTTTGATGGTTAGAAGTAGTAATAGGTGGAGTGTGTAAGTTGAGCCCATTAGGAATAATAATATTATTATTAGGTTTAGTTATAATAATAAGAAATTAGGTTAATTAGAAAGATTAAGAAAGTCTTGAAGCAGTAACATATGAAGTTGCAGAGAAGAGGAACAAGGAAAAGAGGAAAAGTTAGGTTCGATCAGAAAATTGTAGAGCGAACTTCAATCCGAGGTAAGGGTGGGGTTCTGACTCTATAGTGAGAATTATGATGAATAGCATGTGGGAATCGGGTCGTGTAAAATTATTATTGTGCCTGTATATTTGTTGTGGTTGCTTTTGAAATTGCTGAAATTGTTTTACTGTCAATGAATATGTTGTTGGAAAATTATCCTATGTTGATGTCGGTATAGGGATTATGTTGCTGTGATTATATGTTGTGTTGGTCTAGATTTTGAGAAACTGCTAATCGAAGGAAAACTAGGCAAAAAGAAATTACAGAAATCTGTGTGACCGAGAGCAGTTGAAAAAGGGTGTGCCGAGGGGAACACAAAGTGTACAGAGGGGCATACAAAAATTGAGTATACCGAGGGGGAGAGGAACGGTGCCGGTCGGCACCATAGGTTAGAGAGCGAGTGCCGAGTGCCACACCACCTGTGCTGAGGGGCACATTGCCCATTTCCCTTAATTATATTCCTTTTTATTTTGTCATGAATTAATAATTTTGATAGTAACATCCTGGTAATTGATTTACACGTGAGTAGTAGATTAGTAGGAGACAAAGTACTACATATAGGTACAATTAATAGATATTTGAATTAACTAATTTAATTAAATTAGTATATGTATATGTATATGTATAGTGAAGATATTAAAGTAGCAAGATTAATTTATATCACAAAGTTATAATACTTAGCAGTATCAGAGTTATCAATAAAAATAACAGAGTAGTATTAAATAGCGGTAACAGTAATATAATAACAATGAAGGATAATCTAGACGGAAAGTCATTAAAAGTAGCCTAGCTCGTAAAGTAGTAGTACCGAAATAGTCTTAATAATATTAATACAGTGTAGAAATATTAGTAATTTGAGCAGAAGAATAGTTAGCCGGTTTTGGTAGAATTGTCCGGATAATTTCGTGGAGCGTTTGTAATGTATTTTGGTCGAGACCAGGAATTGAATGAATTGCCGTAATACATAAATTTGCAGGTGATGATGATTTTTGTTGAAATGGCTATCATTATTGGCAATATCAAGTTGTAGGCTTATGGCTAATGTTAAATTGTGTTGAATCGTTGTTGAATTAATTGTTGCCGATTATTATTACATTCATACTGTTGTCACATACATAGCATATCAAGTTGAGAGCTAATGCTCGGTAAGTTGGCCTGGATTGGTAAGATTTTAAGTTGAAGGGTTACGCCTTGTTGATGCCTCTATTAATTGGCAGATTATTCATTTGAGATTTTTTCTTCGTTGGTACCACATGCATTTGCATCGTAACATGTCGCATTTTATGTTGCATCTTGAGTTATTGTGATGATGAATCAGTTGTGATATTATGTTGATGACTTGGTTGTAATGGATGTCGTTTAAAATCTATGAAGTGGTGGTTTTGTATGATCTGATTCTAATACATTATTTATCATACATCCAATTATATTGTTCGATATCTCACCCATTCTGTTTGAATGTTACCCCATGTTGGTAACGTGCAGATAATCCAGAGTGAATGTTGTTTACCTTCAGTGGTTCGAGTCGGTGTCGTCGCTCTGATACGTAACACTCGTGGGGATGAACACTTGTTGTGTTATTGTTGATTTTACTTTCGTTGTTGTACTTCAAGTTGATTTTTGTTAAATACTTATTATTTGAAGTTGTTACAGTTGGACAAAGTTGTTATGTCCTTTGAGTTGAAAATTGTGATTCCGCTGTTAAATTATGAAAGTTGTTTTATTTTTAAAGACTAAACAAGTTATTATTGGTTCCTACGAATTTTATGTGTTATGTATCTGAACTATAGGTGATTGAATGTCGTTGTTTCCAAGTTGAAAGTGTAGCATTCCCTTTGTTTGTTGGAAATTTTGTAACTCTGATTTTATATAATTCGTTGGGTAGAAATGTGGTGTTACAGAACCTCGAGTTGAAAGACACACAGAGCAGGTAGACCTTCGTTCTTACTAGAACCATGCTATTGTCCTCTTTAATTAGTACATCAATCATTGTCCTACTAATCTGACGGTTGTCCGCACAGCATGTCGCATCATACGCGAGCATTTTCAACCGCTCTTAGTATATAGGGATAAAATGCGTCATTTCATGTATTCAAATTCATTCTTAAACACACATTACTTCTGGTTTCTCTCAATAACTTGTGTGTGTTGGAGTATTAACCTTGCAGGCCAACATCCTCTCCACCACATCAAAAATACATGTCCAATATAACAAGACACAATATTAAATAAATATTAAATACAATATTAAATAAATATTTGATATTTTATAGAACGTCAATATTGCTGTTATCATATACTCATTTCGTCCCACAATGAGTGACTTAGTCCGTCATTTCACATATATTAAGAAAAAATATTAAAAAATAAGAGAGAATAATATTTTTACTATAATACCCCAAATCATATATTAGAAATGATAAAAGTTTAATTAATTAAAAATAAAATTAAAAAAATATATTAAAAATTGAAATAAATAATTTATTGTAAAATATTATTTTATTTCAAATAAATAATAGGAGGGAGTATTATGATAACATCTCGTAACCTGCGTACCAAAAGAAAACACTATTAATATAAACAAATACATGTTATGTGTTTTGTGTTATTGCTATCATCTAATTCAAAAAATAATACAGCAGGGAAGCTTCCTTTATGTGTTGGAATATTGAACACCTATGGAGTCCTAAACAAGTTATTAGTACTATTATTATAGGCCCTAAAATAATTTATTATCATCATCGATTCTGAAACATAAAAAAAATTGATATTATTAGGAAATATATTTATCTAACCACAATTCCAAATAAAAAATAGACTAATCTCTGTCTTTTCATGTTTCCTTGCCCCACCAACCATCAATTGAGGTTTGGGGTCAGATTCTATGATCACCACAATATCTTGATTACTATGAACCGTCCTTATTGCCACAGCACATATACGTTTATCTCTCCATACTTTTAAATTATTATTTATGCCATATTGCTAATTTTCTATTCAACATGATCACTCATCCATCCATATAATTTTTATTTTTGTGTGCACATGACTGTCTAGGCCATAATGAATGTAATGTCCCTTTCATGAAGTGACATGGCACCTTACATGAGTAGTGCCTATATAAAACCCAAACTTCCCTCATTTACAATCAATTCATCTTAAGCTTTTTCTCTCATTCTCTATTCTCTCTATTATTGTTCATCCTTTTTCTCTTCTTCAAGGTTATAACAAATTAAACCAATTTAATAATATTTAACAAATGGCTTCACAAGTTTGTGAAAGTTTGGCTTATGATATAGAAATCAAGGGTGATAATCTTCTCATGTCACTAATGGAAGAGTTACCTTGTGATGAAAATGATGATGAAAGATTAGATAGCTTGATAAGATCTTTTGAAGCTGAAATTAGTGAAACCAAGATGGGTGATAATGATTATTCAACAAGCATAGAGTTACAAATGAAGAGCAATTTTGAAGAAAATTACAATGAATCATGGAACATAGGACAAGTGGATGAGGGACATGACTTAGGGGTTGAATGGGTTGATATGGATTTGATACCATCCTTCCAATTTGATGATGGGAGTTGGGAGTCTTGTGGAGATGAGATGAGTGTGATGGTTGACCATTTAATGGTTTGTGATGATGGGTTTGATATGGAAGAACATGCTTACAATTCCTTTTGCCAAGATAACTATGAGATGAATTTGGTGCATTAATTTGTTGCTTATGCATAGACTAGTCATGTTTTGTAATTAATGCTCAAACTCTTTTATAATTGGATTGAGATTAGAGTTTTCGAACATGGAAATATAAAAATGAGACTCTTTATTACATGTAAAAAAATATGCATGTAAAGCCATTAAAAAAAAGTTTAATGTAAGGTCGGGAAAGTTTAATTTCTCAATTGTGTTTTCTATCATGTAAAATGGGGTTAATATTAAATTCCCCTCTACCATTTAAAACGAATTTATTTAATTAATTAAATATATATAAATTTTAATAAAAAATTTTTAAAACAAAATATACTTTATTGAATAAAAAAAATCATGAAGTACAAGTGATTACAAATGGATCCAACTAACCCACACAATCAACCCCAACAAGAAATAAAACTTAAGACCTAAGGTAATAGCATATTACTAACATAGATCATAAGTCTTGACTTATCCCAACAACGGTGCACTATAACATCAATAATTCTATTAATGATAGTTTGCTTGTAAATTGTGTTATCAAAGTATTTCTGATTACGATACCTCCAAATCTCATGAACCGTTTCAGTTAATACACATTGAGTAATTCTCGCTTGTCAGCTCTTCCTTTTACAATCCTCAATGAGCCATCTTATTTCCTCCGTCCAGCCTTTAGGCATGTGATCTCTATCAATCCAATGAAGAGTTTTCTCCCAAATATCTTTTAGATCAGGACATTCGAAAAGCAAGTGGTCAATTGTTTCTATCTCCCCATAGAAGCTACACGTATTATGGTCAAACATACCCAAATCTATACAACCTCTCTTTAGTGGGTTATTTCCTGTGACAAAGCATTCGTAGAGTGTGCATGGCTTTTCTTCTCGCAACATTTCCATACATCACAATCTTCCAAGGGACATCCAAACATTGCTCAAGGAAAGCTCTGTACAGAGTTCTTGTGGAATATTTATCATGCTGCAACACATTATTCCAAGCTTGCATACTATTAACATCCTCTCTCAGGCTCAAAATTCCTTTGATTATCCACGAAGCTGAACATCTGACTTGAGCCTCCATAACATTGACACCTTTCAAATAGTAGCTGTGAATCCATCTAATCCACATACTGTCATCTTTCCCATTTAAATTCCAAAGATATCTAATTAGACAAGCTTTACTCCAAATCCGCAGAGAAACAATATTTAAACCACCTTTAATTTGGAGTACAAACACTTGCCCAGGCAACATGGGATTTTATGGATATCACCTCAGTTTCCGACCACAAGAATGTATGACAAATAGCATCAACACGCTTAATTATTTGCATAGGAAGGGGCAAACAATGAATCTAGAAGTTACTCATTACAAAAATAATACTCTGAGTTAATTGAGTTCTATCTGCAAAGCTCAGCAACCTTGAACTCTAATGCCGAACCCTTTGCACTATTTTATCAATTAATCCTAAGCAATTAGTGTGAGAAATCTTCTTATTAGACAGGGGAACTCCTAAATATTTGAAAGGGAGGACACCTTCTTTAAACTTAGTAATCTCCATAATTTCTTGTTTAGCCCTGCAATCAACATTACCACAATACAATTTGCATTTACTAGGATTAACCTCTAAACCCGTGGCATCACCAAAATCCTCCATAACTTTAATAGCTAGCTGAACATAATCATTCTCTCCTCTTGTGAAAATGAACAAATCATCTACGATGCTTAGGTCAATGATTTTATGCTTATCACATTTATAATGGAACTTAAACTTCTGATTACAATCCACCTTTTTGAGAAGTCTATGGAGATACTCCATTACCAAAACAAAGAGCATAGGAAACAAGGGGTCTCCTTGCCTGATACACCTTTTGGCTAGGAGATAATCAGTTACCTTATTATTAACTTTATACATGTTGGATACCGTTATGACTAGAATCATAATCCAATTGATGAACCTGTTAGGAAAACCAAGCTCAACTATAATTTCCTCTAAGGAATTCCAATCAACATGTCGCATCTGATATTTTCATTAAAGCGCGAAGAGAGGCGAAAGACATAAGAGTCACTATCAATGTTATTTATCCCAGGAGAAGGAAAGGAAACACTGAGTAAACCTAAGGGAAGGAAAGAACATGGTCTCACGACCAAGAGAAAGGGTAAGGAAGTCAGTTGCGCGAGAGGAAGGTATTAGCACCCCTAACGTCTGTGATACTCCACAGGATCCACTTAAGTTTGTTCTATTCTAAGGGTGTGTAAAAATCTAAGTCTAAAGTTTAATCCTATAAGGAAATGTATGTAAAGTATATACAAAAAGAAAGTTTTTATTAGTTGTGCCTACTGCGGTTGCGAACCTGTGTGTCTACGTACCACCAACCGTGTAATGGGGATCAAGGTACTCGTAGTTCACCTAAAACAATTTGGTGGTTTGTATGTTTATTATGATTGATGCTAGCGAAGCATGTCCTTTTTGAAAAGGTTTTAAAAGAAAAAGTCCGAAGATAAAAAGAGTTGCATTGGTTGATATTTTTTACCTTGAAAAAAAGATTTGAGTAAGGTTAGAGTGTTTTAGAAATTTGCCAAAGAAATACAGTTTTTGTTTTAATATGGATGCAAAAGAGAAAAAAACTAACAAAAAGGGATCTCAATCCTATAATTTGTCATGCTTGTGGACCTAAAGTTGGGATAAGAGAGAGATCTACCTAACGTTGTCATGCATGGATAGAAAATCTAAGATCTATTTAGTTAAAACTTAGAGAAGAATAAACTAAAGATCCCCTGGGGAACATGACAATCTCACAAAAGAGAAGAAGAGGAAGAAGAAACAAGAAATCACACTTAGATAAGATAGAAAACAAGTATCACATAAACACACATGAAATTAGGATAGATACCTAAGCACATAAGAAAGAGAAGATGACAAAACATCAAGTAACTAGTATAGAAGGGATGATAAAACATCAATATAAAGAGGGGATGACAAAACATAAAATAAAAGGGAAGATGATAAAACATCACACAAAGATGATAATACATCAAGTAGGGCAAAAATGGTAATACATCAAGTAAGATATGATAAAACATCAAGATAAAGAGGGGATGACAAAATATCAAATAAGAGGAAAGATGATAAAACATCACACAAAGATGATAATACATCAAGTAGGGCAAAGATGGTAATACATCAAGTAAGAGATGATAAAACATCAAGAAGGAAGATGATAAAACATCAAGCACACAAAACAATATGATAAAATACATAAGAGAAGAGATGATAAAACATCACATAAAGATCATAAAACATCAAGAAGGAAGATGATAAAACATCAAGCACATAAAACAATGTGATAAAATACATAAGAGAAGAGATGATAAAATATCACATAAAGATGATAAAACATCAAGAAGGAAGATGATAAAATATCAAGAACACAAAACAATATGATAAAACACATAGGAGAAGAGATGATAAAACGTCACATAAAGATGATAAAACATCGAGAAGGAAGATGATAAAATATCAAGCACATAAAACAATATGACAAAACACATAAGAGAAGAGATGATAAAACATCACATAAAGATGATAAAACATCAATAAGGAGGATGATAAAACATTAAGCATACAAAATATGTGATAAAACACATAAGAGATGAAGATCTCACAAACAAACCTGAAGAAGTTAAGAAGAAAGCATGAAAGAAATGATGAGAAATCAAAAGGCATGGCATAAAATAATATCAAGATATCATCCATATTATGACCCTAACATGTTAAGCACATTGGACTATCCTAAGCATGGCAACAATGGTCAAAAAGAAAGAACTATTACCTAACTCGACAAGTATGAGTGCAAGTGTGTATTTAGAAGATAAGACTTCACATCATGATAAAAAATGCAAGTAAGGATGATACAAGAGGTAAATACCTAAGTTTAAACATGGTTTACGATGTCATATACTATCATTAAGGGATTACATGTTAACAAACATCACCTAATCAAGACAAGTTCATATGATGAAAAGAAATAAAACTCAAACAAGTAACAAAATAAGACTTGGACAACAAGTAAGTGGAAAAACAAAAAGGGGAAATAGTATGACATCACAGATAACACTTAGACATGTCAAAACAATTCCCTAATGGTCATGCACAAGAGGTAAATATCTAAAGATCACAAGAAAAGTAAAAAAGGCAAGCATACTACCATATGAGCATTCATGTGTCAAGCATGATATAAGAAGATGAAAAAAAGTGAGATAGATGAAGAAGTGTATAAGTCAGAAGCAAACACAACAAGGACTTATCATCATCACATAAATACACTTGAGAAATATTCACAACGCAATCAAACAAATAAAGGATCACAATCATCCATAAGTAGAGATAAGCCCTCATGCATTGCTAACAAGCAATAAAATTAGAAAAGAAGAGGTAATGTGAAGAAGAAGATTCAAACATAGACATGTTATACACTTAGAACAAACTTCATGGTCAAGAAGGAGTTCAAATAGTCATTTAAAACATGGTACAAACACCAAACTACACAAACTAGTTTCAAACATAGTTGTGATGTGAGGTGAGAACAAGTGTGTGATCAAGTGAACATGGAAAGACATGTCAAGTGATTGATCACCAATTCTACTAAGTTTTCATTCATTTATTCGGCATGAATGCGCGATCAATAACACTTTTGTTCTTTTGTCTATTGTTTTTGAAGATATTTGACTTTTCTAATTTTCCTTTCTTGTGGTATTTTTAGTATAAATTTATATCTTTTTGTTGCATTTGATGTGTTTTCGTGGTAGTGGTCTATGTTGTCACATTCAAACAAAGAGCCCAATGGTCTTGGGCGAGGAAAATGGGAGTTCTGATGTTGAGAAGAAGATATTTTGGAGGCTACAGGGTCCTGACACAACCACTCGTGTCACCTGACACAGGCTGTTCCAGGAGAGGATGCACAACTACAGTCTAGGAGAAGAGACAGAAGTTAACACGGGTACCCGTGTCACACGACATGGCCCATGTC